TCCTCCGGTGCCAACCTATGCCCGCAATACCAATAATATATCTTGAAGGTTAGAATCTCTAATCAAGTGTTGTCTAAAGCATTAAATGATCATACACCAAGACCACTATTTTTAAATTGCCTTCTGATGTGAGGTTTGCTTGATCTTTTTTTCCCTCAAGCACTCAAGTGAACAGCACAGCAGGCCCCTTGAATGACTAAATAAACAACAGTAAAAGTATGCTCCAAACATGCTGAATTTGTCTATAGTAGAGATTCATGATATATGCAAATCATTTACATGTCTCTCATCATATAAAAAAATGAATAACATGGTTTTTATTTGTAAATGAAATTGATGAAAAAATATTAGATTTTATTATTTCCAACATGTATGATATTTTATTATGGTTTCAAAAAAATATTCAAACTATATAAACTCTAAAATATTTGGATAATTTAACTTTCACAAGTTTTAATATTAACTCTTTACAGCACCACTGTCTGAGGAAGGAAATAACACTTCTCCTTTTGAGGATTTTTAGATGTAAAGTTACAAAGTTTAGAGTTAGTTGCATGGTGCTTTATTAAACCATTGTCTTCCCTCTAATCAGCAGTTCAACACCAACAAGAAAAAAAGCTGATGGCAGGTGCTGCCAATCAGTTCCCTTTTCTCTAGTCATCAATTAAAAATTAGTGACAGTGGCAGATAACCTTAGTAGTTTACTATAACAATGACAAGGCAAACAAGTTTAGTGGAAATATTTTGATTACTTAGATAATTGGAATAATCAAAGTTAGTAATAATCACATACCCTAATTTGGGTTAATTGATTGTTGGAATAACTGGAAACACTAATTTTGTTTAACTCTATCGCCCCGTGTATCCTTTACTGCACATGGCACAAGGTTTTAGTGTCTTACATTCAAAATTTTATTAAACTACTTTTTGTTTATATTATACCAATTAGAAAAGCATAATATCTTAGCTAATAATGCTTATTTTAATAGTATACAAGTTTAAGTTCTTAATTCTACAAGTGAATATTAAAAAAATGCTGAATTTCCACTAATTTGACCCACATGACACATTGTCATCATCCCTATTTTATCCAGCATCCCTCAAAAAGCTCAAAATTAATTGTAAATTACTTTATAAAATCGTTATTGCTCAGACAAACCATAATTTTTATAGTCTTCAATTTTGTTTGGTTACAGAGCTATCGAATAGAAAATCAAACTCCTCCTACCACACCCACCTGTCACATCCTTTCTTTCATAATTTGTTGATAGTTCCCTCTTACATTTCATTATATATTACCTATAACCAATAGAAAGCTGAGGTTTTCATCTATCAAGTGATGTATTGTATAACGTTATGTTCTGAACAGTTAAATATCAATTTCATTCAGATTACAAACATCATTCCCATGGCACGACTAGCTTGGATGAATTTGTAATGCCTCTTGTCGCATAATTAGAAAGCCAGGAAAATTCTGAAAGGTAAGTGAATTTATCTACTTTTATTAGTCTGTATTCTTTGGTGCATCATTTAATTAAATAAAAATTATTAAGTGCATTACTATGTATAGTATAAAAAAGTAGGGTTAACTCTCTCTTTGAAACCTGACAGCAATAAGAAGATTGGTTAAGTATTTTATTTCTTGTGTCTTATGTTTATTCTTTATTTATTATTGTAAAAGTAACTAAAATCTAAAAATATGGATCTTTTAAAGTTATTTAACACTAGATTAGGTAAAATATGTAATAATAATATAATTAAAATGGTTCACGAGGCACGCACGCACGCGAGCAGCTCGTAGTAGCTCATGGGTAATGTAATTCAGTAGCGTAACATGACCTGCACGTTCTCCGAGTGATTTACAACTTTTATGGTGTGGAAAGTAGTTGCTCAGTTCAAAGGGCAATAAAATAATAAAATTTAATTATAAATAGATGTATAATGTTATGAACTTAGAGCTACTTAGGAATAAACGAATGTAGTTTCATGTTACAACTTGAAGTCATTCTAGAAAGAGAAAAGGGTAATTTTAGGTTTATTTCAATTTTTTTTTTTATTAGTTATGAGGTAGATCGAATTGACTGATCCCGTTTTGAATTAGGGAAAATAAAATAGCAGATAAACTCTAAAGTTTTACTGAAAGAAAACGTTCGAAATGCATTTAAGGGATTTTAGGGATTTGATGTAATTGCTGCTCATAGTTAATCAATTAAATCACTCAGCTCTGCATGTAAGTTTACTAGAAAGAAAATATTATTGAACTCAAGATTATAACATTGAAAATGATGATACAACATAAATGAGATTTCTATACTGCATTTATACTGAAGAATAAAGCTAGTATATATATATATATATATATATATCACCTTTTATTCTATATTACACTGTAGCATTTATTTAAGTTTTTTTATCTTCTGTTAACAAGTATACATTTTTTTGACTAATTAAAAATAAATTTATTCAATCCTTTAGTTGGTTTCATTTTTAAATATCTTCTTATTTGTTTTTTGTTTTGTTCTAGTGCTTGATTTCAGTCCCGAAGAAGTAAAAACAGTGGTAAGTTTACACTATTTGATAAGTAGGTACAGTAACACCAACTCTAGAAGTATGCCAACATTTTCATTGCTCATGTAATAAAGAACATTGTAACTCAAAGTGGCTGTTGAAGTTAAATATTTATCATACAATTTTTTGTCTCAGATCTAATTAAATTTGATTTTTTTGGTAAATTTATAATGCAATAAAACAAGTAAATCAAAAAGGTTATATTATGTACTATAACCTGAGACATTTGTGAGTGTTGACCTTGAAACCATGTTTCACGTGCTTATTACCTCTCAGTGGCTCAGCAGTGAATCTGATGGATTAAAGTGCAACAAAAATCAGGCTTTGATACCCATTTTTGGCATAGGACAGATAATCCAGTGTGTAACTTAGTGATTAACAGTAAACAAACAAATCACATGCCTAGTCTACATATTACACTGATTATATAATGGGATTAATGTGTGTGTGTCTTTTGTTCTTATCTTATTCATTTCACAACTATAAAGAAAAGTTTGTGTTCAACATTTAAACCAATTTTTTGTTATCTGTATCATTCCAGGAAACAAATTTTTGATAGCACCAATACAGTCACAAACCTAATGACACTACAATACCCCACTTTGTTTAAAGAGATTTTGCCAAAAAATATCTCGTATATCATGAAAACTGATATATACAGATAGATTTTGGTAAAATTCGTTATTAATGTATAATCCAGTTGAATTGAATGGATCAATTGTAAGTAAATGTGATTTTAAATTTCTCAATATAATAGGAGGACTAAGCTTAAAATAAGCATCAAATCTGTGCAAGTACCACAGGTTTGCAGATGTGTTTCATATGGTGAAAAGTTTTATCTACATAGGAAGAAAGTTTAAATACTTCTACTCTTGAAATATAATTTACAATTACAATGTGTTTTTCAAGTGCTGAGCCCCAAGTTCCTGCTGTCACTCACAGGACATCATAAAATCAACTTTTCCACATTTAATTCGGTCCCCACTTCAACCTCAATGAAGAAAGCTCAGTCTGATCTTATCTGGTTTTTTTCACTGTAATTTTCTATAAAGTCTTCATTTGTGTCATTAACATGTCTCAGTTATAGAACAACTAAATTTGCTGTTGTTACAATAGATTTTGGTAAAATTTATTATTAATTTGAATTAGTAGATCATTAGTCAGTAAATTTGGTTTTAAGTTTTTCTTCCAAATGTTTTTATTCAAGCTTATTACCAGAACAAACTATAATAATCTTTTTTTATATTCATGTTATTTTAGTTTTTGATCATTTGTTATACATATCATTTACAAGTTCTTCACATGATTTTGTCACCAATTGATACAGGTGATACATTGTAGTACTGTTGTATGTATTTTGTGCAGATAGCCTTTGAGTAGTTTTGGCATAAAATTCATCAAATAGGTTTGCTTTTAAGGCAAGATAGCAGCAAGATGAAGCAACTGTTACTGCACCTTATTTTCACAGTGTTCAATAACATGCTATAAAATTATCTCTACAAAATCACCAAACATGACTTAATTGTTGAGTGATGACACATAATTTATGAGCTTTAACCCCTTTATATGAAACTACTTGATGTTTTCAGAAGTTGATTTAATTTCAAAAGCAAAAATACAAGACATTTTTAGAATCTGTATTTTCAGGTTATGAATAAAAATTATGAATAACTTTTGTGACATGGGAGATTCACTATTACATTCATGTTATAATAAGCCGCTGGAAGTTTTAGGAATCCGATAGACATGACTTAATATTCTCTATTTACTCAGTTTACTAGATTTCACTTGTTTTCATGTTTTGTTTTTTTGTGCATCCTCTGTTTATCATCTGGGTTGTTCTGTGTTGTGAGTTTTTGAGTCTTATACATATAGCAGTAGCTAATTTTTCTTTTAAGTTTCAGTTTATCAAAGTGGGCACTTGGACAGAAATTTTCTTTTCATCCTGCAATTTTAGTCAGGCATAAACAGTAAGAATATATCCACGAGGATTATTTTTATAATATCAAATCTTTTATTTTCTCTTCTGACTTTCTTTGCCTTTTGTAGCATCTGATGCACTTAACATTTTGTTGTAACTAAAGCAAGTAACGTTTTGGCTTTCCTTTGTTCTTAAATGTTCTTTTTTCACAGGAGTGACATAGGCCAAGTTGTATTATAGTTAAATCCTTCCATGGCACATGAAAAATTGCTATAAAAAAGACCTCCTTTCATCATTTCTTCCTGGTGGTTAAAATACTCCAATGGCTTTTAATAGTAAGCTTCCACTACTTACTTTGTCTAAGTTGACTTCCATTTGATTGCTATTTCTGAGATATTCATTCAAGAGTAGTTTCTGTTATTTCACATGTTCATGAAGCTGTTTTTATTCAGCTCTCCTGAGACTTTGTGTGAATTATTTATCACTAAATTCAGTCTTGGATCTCTTTTGTCATACCTAGAAGCAATGATTCATCTATGGATAAATTTGATGAAAATTGATATAGTTACCTATAAACATTTTAAAAGTTTTTTGGAACATTTGCTTATCTTCTGTGAACAAAAATTTAAAACTAAAGCTTCATTTGAGTATGAATACATAAAAATGATGCCTATCACACTACCAACCATCTTCTTTTAGTGTAACATCTTTCACTAGTCTTTCTTGTATTGAGCAAGTTGAAACCCAGAAATTTTCAACAAACTCCAATAAGAATTTGTGATGCAAGTTATCACAGAGATACTGTAATTATTTTCACACTTATCTAATCCCATCAGGGTCTCCATGACTTTTCCAACTTTTGTGATTTCTGAAGGGAATAAAAAATTTTCTCACTAACATCTCAGTCCTTCTGAATGAAAGTGTAAAAATGTTATGATAGCATTTTTTATGTTTAGCAATTCTTCAAATTATAGAGCCAGACATAAAATTTAATGTGGTTGTCATATATACGAAGATTAAAAAATTTGAAGTAATTCTATAATCTAATGGATAAAAAAATCCAACAGTGTGATTTAATGACAAGAAATCTAATAGAACATTGAAAATTATATATACTGAAATCATCAATCAATGTCTGGAGTCAGAATATCAAACAGGAGATCATGCTCCTTAAGGTTGTTTTTAATTAACCATCTGTTTTGTTTAGTTACCTATGAATACTTATATAAATATTAGTGAATTTACAGTAATGTTTTGATATAGATGAAGACTCCAGATACAGATAGTAACAGTTATTTTCCAGAGGAGAGACATAACAACAACAATGATATTTCCAAGGACAGAAAAGACGTACAAGAAAAGCATGCCATATCGAATTTTGAGGTTGGTTACTATTGTTGAATATAAAGAAATTTAAGCATCATGTAATATAAAATGAGATTGGTTCATAAAGCCTTGATATGAAAATCAATTATTCTGGTGAGGTAGATTTATCTTTGAAACACTAAAAGCCTTTTCTTGTTGATTTTGAACTCATGCTATAAATAAAACAGGACTACAAATTTCTTAATGTCCTTTACACATTTCCAGAGTCTTCCACATGATTTAATGCAGAAGTATCAAGGGATCTTGCATAAGCTCTGTTTTCCTGTCATAATTTAGTTTTTCTTGTTGACAGTTGTACTGTTCATTTTGCTTGTGTTCTTTCTTGTGCTACTATTTCCACTACTGTTATGCAATTTGCCTGTAACATGCAGGGTTCATTGTAGCTGCTGTGTAAATTCTGAAGATGTAATGTATTTGTACCATTCTATACTGATATTTTTCTGGTGAGTATCATGATCATGCAAACAGTTAATTTGTGTATGAATTGCCATCTTCTTTTGTTTTTTGACAACGGTCAATTTCTTGTTTAGGCTTAATTACCTTCAGAGTTTGCAGAGCTGAGTTTGTGTGATACAATGTTAGCCCTAATTCTGATAACACTTTATATTTCAGTGTTATTTATCCTTAAGTTTTTGACCATATGTTGAGTTCTTTGGCGAAGGGTGGTCTTCAGCACGTTTTATTTGCTTTGACCTATTGTCAGTCTTATGTCCTGCACTCTATGATTTGTCTTTTTTTTTGTTTAGTCAGTGGTATTTGTTCCTATTTTGAAAGAATGAAATATTTTCAAATTAATAACATCAATTGTCTATGACAATTTCTCACTTCTTGAAGCTTGTTCTATCTACATTAACAAACTGGTTTGTGCAATTAATCCATCCTGTTTATCATAATGTTCCTGACCATGTTAAGCATGGATTTTAGGCTACTTCTTATCAGTTCACTATTTAGCAATGTCTTTGGCCTCCTGGTCTCTTTATCCTTGAGCAGACATCTTACAGGTCAGCATGAAGACAAATTTGTGTACCACAGTGTCTTCAGTTTCAGAATTCTGTCTGCTGCCTCTGGTTATTCTTCAGGCTTGATGAAAACCATCTCTTATGAGGTTTTTCTTTACACTGCCCAACACCCATTGTTAATCATTTCCAGAGTGTCTGGGATTGTGAATAATTATGACTTTGAAACAAACAATATCAAACAAGAAAGACACAATAATTACGTATATACTTAGAATCCGTATATGTACTGATTCATCCAGCCAATAATCTTGCATGTTCTTTAGCCTTTGCAACCTAAATATTTCTCTGTTGTTAAACATCTCTGTTCACGAAACAAGGATTGTCTGAGGTTGTGAAATTATTTGGTGTTATATATATATATCACAGATATCTGTATTCTATCAGTGTTGTATTTTTACAATATATATATATACCTTCAAAACTCTATTTAAAAAACAAAAAAACCTTTGCACTTTCCAGTCATTATCCAAAAGTCATAATGGAGATTGCCTGTAGTAATACCACCCAAAAACATTTGGGATATCCCATCTATCAGACAAAATCCGAAGAGCATATGAGAAACCAGTCAGCAGTCGTGGAACATTCAATAAGGGTACGGAGTCGAGTCCTTACATCCACAATGTCTCAACTCTTACAGCCTTTCACTGTCTGCAGCCAGTTGTGGGAAGGCAGTTACCCTTAAAAAGATGTAATAAAGTTAAAAGTAGAAATAAGATAAAATTAAGCCACCCAAAAAATATATATTTGTACTAAATAATGCTTACCATCCTCCACCCTAATAATTCTACTACATGTTACTCCCAACCTCCATCTTCTTCTGAAAATGACTAATTGCTATTAACAATCAGTACTTTTCACCAAGTATAATATATCCAAAAGAACTTGAAACAGAAAAAAGTAATAATAATAATATATATATATATACACTAATTATTTAAATTTGGATATTAAATCAATAAATGGTAAAGCACAACTAAATATTTTTGATAAGAGAAGAGCATTTAATTTTCCCATCCTTGGTCTGCCCACCCCTAATATAGTGTGGTCCCTCGTATTATTCTGAAAGGCGTTATTAAGTTGCAATTAAAAAGATTTTTAACTGTTTGTAACAACAGCACGTTTTTTTATGGATAATGTTATATTATTGATAACTAAATTAGAAAATAATGGATATAAATACTGGCAAATAAAAAAGTTTTTCACAAGTTTTTATAATAAATTTCAAGATATTTTGTTAGATAAATATTCAATGAGAAAAAACCTTTTTTGTCACTAGAGGTAGGTAGCTACCTTTAATATGTAAGTTAAATTTATTCAGTATAGCTGGTACTGGAAAGACTAACTTCAAGTAGCTGGGCTTGCCTCAGCTATCCCATGCTATACTTGAGTGAGACAATATAAACTACTTAAGGTAGGTCTTGTAGTTCTTTTAAGATCTTTTTTTTTAATAAGCCATTTTCAGAAGAAGGTGGAGGTTGGGAGTAACATGTAGTAGAATTATTAGGGTGGTATTTATTCTGCTTTAAGGATTTTTTAGAACTTTTAAGGGTGGTGGATGGTGAGCATTATTTAGTAGAAATTTATATTTTTTGGGTGGCTTAATTTTATTTTATTTCTATTTGTAACTTTAGTAGATCTTTTCAAGGGTAACTGCCTTCCCACAACTGGCTGCAGACAGTGAAAAGAAGTAAGAGTTGAGATGTTGTGAGTGTAAGCAAGACTACTGACTGGTTTCTCATTTGCTCTTTGGATTTTGTCTGATAGATGGGATATCCTCAATGCTTTTGGGTGCTGTTACTACAGGCAATCTCCATTATGACTTTTGGATAACGACTGGAAAATGCGAAGGTTTTTGTTTTTTAAATAGTTTTGAATGTGTATTAAGTTCATTATTGTTTTATTGTGCTAATTTTGATCACCTATTGACAATTAATGTAATTTATATAATAGTTTTAAAGCTACACTTCTTATTTATTATATATATATATATATATGTGTGTGTGTGTGTGTGTGTGTGTGTGTGTGTATATATAGCATGGTCTCTCCTTCTGTGAGATACCGTATACAGATTCGTACAGTCAGGACACTTACATGTTGCATATATCTAGTGTTTGTCCTAGACAATATTTCACCTCTATACTAGAGCTCCATGAGAGGGTTTGCCATTTGGAAATGGACATAGGATGCTATCTGGTTGCTGAGAAACCTTGACAAGTATTTCTCCCACCTCCACTTGCTTGTTCTCATTAGAGATGACAGAAACAGGACTACTATTATCAGTATGTGTCTCAGCTCAAACCAGGATGTGGATCATCTATATTTTATTCTTCTGTTTGGATGTCCAAACTGTATTATCCTGTCATTGTAGAGCTCATCCTTGAGGATTACTTAGGGATTTCTTTGGCTTTCTCTCAGTACCCACTAGTTTAGCTGGTTGTGTGACTCACTGACCATTTTCAATATGGATTCAGAGGGGCTACTGCATCTGGAGTCGGTACTTTCATAATATTCATCTTATCTGTTCCTTCAAGCACCTTGCACTGCTGGAGCAGGCCATATTATTCTTACTACCTTTTTATGTTTCTATCTGTGGCTCCACAGGTTCAATACACCATCACTGCTCACAAAACTGACACCTTTGCTTCAGTCAAAAAGTTTCATTGGTGAAGAGGGTACCTTACTGACAAGAATTTCTTCTCTCCGAGTGTTCTATACTTCCAGCCTTTTTATGAGGCTGGTCCACTTCACTTGTTCTCTTTCAAATCCAGTACTTAAAATTATTTTCTGGTTCTGGGTCCTGTTGAGACTCTGTATGGCTACATATGTCTTTTAGACTAGATTATTATCTTCTTGTCCCGTAGCTTGTTTTATATTTTTGGCTTCTTTTAATGTTCGTTGGCTCTAACCTTCTTTACGGCACGAGTATTCTTGCTTTCGGTATTTCAGAAGTCTACCTGATTTGAATATTACGTTATTAGAATTAAAATTAATTTCTAACAGGTATTTATCCCTGAAATACCTTCCCCTCCTTACAGCCAAAATCTCATTGTGACTGCTACTTTCAATTAAAACTCAATTAGGGCATGAAAGCAGAGCTTATGTTTGGATGTCCTGATACTTGCACAATGAATCTGGTGAAGAGTTTTGATGCATGCTCTGCAATGCATGAAGGACGTTTGTCACATGTTTTGTTGACAGCATGAATTCAACTCGACAAAGGAAAGCTTTCAGTATTTCAGATGTAAATACCTGTTTGAAATTAATTTTAAATTTAAAAATGTAAAACTTGAATGTTAGCATGGATGAATATGTATATATGTATGTGTGGGAAAATAATTTATAATACTGAATTTTAGAGTAATTAATTACGTTTGCATTAAATTCATTAAAAGGAAAGTATTGTTTTTTAACATATTTTGAATTTTTAAATTTGAAATTAGATACTTGTAATGTATAGCAGATAAATGTTATAAAACTATTCATGGGACTCACATCAGG